ATATGAACCTTAAGATCATCTTTATTCAATTCCAAATAAAACTGTGCAGTTGCATTAAGAGTATTTATTAATTTTGGGAGAGTTGACATTTTCATGAAATTTTGTCTTTCCTTCTAGGAATGTGGAATATCTTTTCATTTGTCTAGATCATGCTTTATGTCCTTAAGTGCTTGAGAGGGTTATCCAAAATATTTTATTGTTCTTTTTATGAACCGGCTTTTGGATTTATCTTTGCTTCTTTTATCTTTCGTTAATTTCAACTTTTATTTTATTACTTGTATCCTACTTTGAATTGATTAATTTTAATATTTTTCTAGTTTCATAGGAAATTACCTTTAAAAACAAGTTCTTTTGTTTGTAATCTTTAATAGTAAGGGTGCCATTTAAGACTATACATTTTTCTTTGAGTAAAGTTTTAGCTTTGATTCTAAAATTTAGATACAAAATGGTCTGTTTTTAATTGCTTTTAGGCCTCATTTCCTCTTTAATTCAGGAGTAGAAGGTAGCCTGTGCTGAACCTCTCTCTGAAACCTCATGTGAGTGAGTGCATCTCATTGGTGTAATCAAATTTACATTCAGAACCATAGCTGCAAGAGGGTGTAGGAAATGTAATTTTGGGATTCTGACCCCTATGGAAGGTACAAAAAAGGGTGGAAAGAGATCCTGACTGCCAGCATGAGAACCATGGATTCCTAATTGTGGGTTAAAACCATGGGAGCAGTGCAGATGTGGTTACCTATGAAGAGCTTGTGGAATGAGGATAGAGCAGGGATGTGGGGGTGGGGGCTCAGCCAGGAAATCCCAGAGAATAATAGTGTTTAAAGTCTGGCAGGAAGAGAGAAGGCAGTGAAGGGGACTGGGATAACAATCAGCGAAGGACAAAGATTGCTGACACAGCAGCTAAGGGAAGCAGACTCTATTAGTTGCTGCTTAGAGGTCAGGTAAAATCATGAAGAGTGTTGATTTGTCAGATCATTTTTGACCACTGCCAGAGCACCGTCATTTGGTGATGGGCATGGCAGTCAGATTAGTGGTTGGAGAGTGAAAGCATGAGTGTTGAAAAAGTGGAAGTCTGAGAAGATAGACTATTATTTTGAAGAGCTTGGCTGTAAAGGGGAGGAGAGATAGTAGGATATTTGTTAGAATCATCAACCTCTGATATATTCTGGGGACTCTACCTGCATCTGCCTCAGCATCTAAGAATCAGCATCATCAGGCCTCCAGCATTGCTTACATTTTCAGTTTGGGCTTACGTGGAACTTTAAAGACCATTCAGTCTCACCTTGCCTCTTATTTCTGTTGTTTTTCTCTACTGCATTTATTCTCCCACTGTCTTATATGGTTTACACATCTTCTCTGTTCCAACTTCACATATATAACTCTCATTTGATGAACTTGGTTCTGTTTCACTGAGAAAACAGAAGCCACCAAAAGAGAATGTGTTTATGCTTCCACCACGTTTTCTTACGTACCTGCAACTGAACTCAAATACTCTGTCTTCTGCTGGTCTGTCTCCACCCACACCCCTTCTCCTCCCCTTTTTTATTGTAGATAAACTTTATTTAAGGCTAGCCCCTCAATTTGAGCACGTTGCTTTAGCAGTTCTCTCTTGTATCAAGAATTTTTCTCTCTGCCGGATTATTTATATAACCAACTGAAACCTTTCTCATCTTAAACATTCCCTTTCAAATTTCTTTTGTTCCCCTTTATAGTAACACTATTGGGAAGAATTGTCTACTGACATTTTTGTTTCCAATTCTTCTCTCTTTATCCACTTTAATCAGAGTTTTGCCTCCACTATTGCAGGGGAAAAAAAAAAAACCCTTGTCAAGGTCACCAGTGACCTCTGTGTTGCTAAATCCAGTTGTCAGTTCTCAGTCCTCATCTTACTTGGCCTGTCAGCAGCATTTGACACTGTTGATCATTCCTGTTTCCTAGATAAACTTTTCTTCGCTTGGCTTCCAAGACATCCCCGTCTCTGTTTGCCTCCTACCTTGCTAGCTGCTTCTTCTTAGTCAGCTTTTGCTGATTCCTTCTTATCAAGTTGACTTCTAAATATGTGACTTCTCTTCTCTGGCTACACTCACTCCCTAGGATGGTGACCTCATCTAGTCTCATGGCTTTTAAGTACCATCTATCCGCTGATAATTCCTTTTTTTTTTTTTTTGACATTTATAGTCTGGCCCTTTCTGTTGAACTGTGTTTAACTACCTATCCAACCTCTCTACCTGAGTGAGTAATATATATTTTAAATTTAACAGTCTGAAACTGTACTTATTTCTCCCCCAAAACTACTCTCATAATCTTTCCCAACTCAGTAAATGGCAGCTACATCTTTCCACTCGCTCAGGCTGAGAACCTAGCAAGTTCTGCCAGGTCTGCTTTCAAAACATCCAGAACTTGATCACTTCTTAACACCTCCACTACACAGATCTAGGTTCTCTCTCTTCTGGATTATTGCATTAACCTCTCAGCTGGTCTCCTTGCTTCTGTCCTTGCCTGTTCCTAATTTATTTTCCACACGGCAACTAGAGTGAACCTTTTGGAATAAGTCAGATCATATCACTCCTCTGCTCAAAAAAATTCCGATCTCACTCAGGGTGAAAACCAACACTTCACCATGTGTAATAACCAACACTTATTATAAAGTCATGTGTTATCTGGGAACCCCTTTCGTACCAACCTTCTCTCTTCTTTTTCCCATCCTTGTTTGAACCTCTAGAGTTATTCCTGCCTCCGTCCCTTGGCAGTTACACTGTTCTCTCTGCCTGGAGTACTCATCTCCCAGATATTTGTGTGTCTTGCTCTCTTTTTCTCCCTCAGCTCTTTCTTAAATGTTACATTATTAGCAAGGCCTTCACTCATCTCTACTGGCAGTCCCTATTCCCCTGACTCTGCAGTAATCATCCTCTGAAATGCTGTATATTATTTATTTATCATCCTCATCTTCCACTAGAGTGTAAGCTCCAGGAGGCGGGAAGTTTGTAGTTCATTGCTATATCCCCAGTTCTTAGAATAAACAACAAAAAAAAATCCAGTTGCCATTAAGTCGATTCCGACTCATGGCGACCTCACGTATTTCAGAATGGAACTGCTCTCCATAGGGTTTTCAGTGGCTGGGGTCTTTTGGAAATAGATTGTCAGGTCTTTCTTTTCAGGCTCCTCTGGTAGATTCAAATGGTCAGCCTTTCGATTAGTAGCTTGACGCTTTACCATTTGCGCCACCCAGGGACTCCAGTTCTAGTATAAACCCAAAAAAACCAAACCCGTTGCCACCAAGTCGATTCTGACTCATAGCAACCCTATAGGACAGAGTTGAACTGCCCCATAGAGTTTCCAGGGAGCAGCTGGTGGATTCAAACTGCTGACCTTTTGGTTAGCAGCCGAGCTCTTAACCACTGCACCACCAAGGCTGCCCGTTCTAGTATAGTACCTAGTATATAGTAAGCCCACAATAAATAATTGTTTGATGAATGGATTCCAGTCAGCCTCAGCCTCTGCCATAAATATTAATTCCCTTAGTCATTAGCCTCATAATTCACTGTGTTTCTGCTCAATTGCTCTTCTTTCCATGGTTTTTCTAGCCCTACTCAGACTTTCATTCCATTGTAAACAATTGCCCCCTTCTCTTCGTCGCTTCTTAGAAGACTCCCTCCATTTACATTTCTTTACCAAAATCTGCTTTTTCTTTCTGATCAACCTCCCACACTCCGAAGGATATTGGGAGGTGGTGGTGGTGGTAACATTCTCTTATCTCCCCAGTGTTACTAACAGAGCCCTCTGCTTCCAGCAGCAGGCAGTCTTTGATGCTCTAGACTTTTGCTCCTTTTGGTTACTGTCATTTTTGTCTCTTATCACTCGTCCATGCTTATTGGGAAAACTTGACACATGGCTCAGAGTCTTCCTCTCTAAGTTTGTCACTTCCTAGATGACTTCATTGTATGTGGCGTGACTACCACCTAGGTCCATAGTCCATTCTTGTAGTCATATGACCATCAACTCTTCTTCAGAAATCCACACATAAGGATGCTCCCTAGACTTTATCATCACTGGAATGAGTTCATTTTAGAGTCATCAAAAAAAAAAAATTTTTTTTTTTTTAACCACAGCCCACCAGGCCTAGTAAAACTTTATTTCTAATACACTTAGTCTTTGACTGTAATGAGATCTCCCGTTCCTTGACCCGTACTTTTTTTGCCAGTCTATCATCCCTCAGATATCTGACAGAATTAAGTGAAATTTAATTTTAATTAAAAATTAAAAATGAAGTATCTCGTTCAACTGCTGTTTACTTTGATATATGGTATATTTATTGAATAATTCTCTCCCCTGCCCCACATTGATTTGTGATGCCTTTTGCATGTTAAATTTTTGTATAATAGAATCTGCTTTTATTGATCTGTCAATTTTTGGTGCCAGCATAACTCTTTAAATGTTATTGAAGCTTTAAACTATATTTTGACCTTCCATTGACATTATTTTTCAGAACTGTGTATGATGGTCTGTTCTTTACACTTTTAGATGCTTTTAAAAAAAACACATTTGGTCAAGTTTTGAAAAACTCCACTGGGGATTTTTTTTCTGGAGTGATATTAAAGTCGGCTAATTGACTAGTTCACCATCCAGGGACCCCTACCAAACCTGTTGCCATCAGGTTGATTCCGACTCATAGCGACCCTATAGGACAGAGTAGAACTTCTCCATAGAGTTTCCAGGGAGTGCCTGGGGGATTCAAACAGCGGACCTCTTGGTTAACAGATGTAGCTCTTAACCAGTACACCATCAGGGTTTCCTCCAGGGACCCCTAGTTCACAAAGATTTTATGAAAACTTCATATTAACAAATGTCTAAAATTTTTACTTAATAGTTTAAATTCTTTTTTTCTGTAAATACCAAAGATGTATACTGCTATTACTTTATTATTTTTTTCAACCACTATTACTTTAAAAAGATTGATACGCAAAAAATGTGAATGATCTGTTAAACTTGTTTTGTTTCAGATATGTTTTCTTCTTTTTGCCGTTCTCTACATTGTTTCCTACTTCATCATCACAAGATACAAGAGAAAGTCAGGCAAGTAGAAACATTTCAATTAAAACTTTTATTATAATGGCAAATGGTATGTGGGGTGTATTGATACAGTTCAGTGTGCTAGTATGCTAAATATGCTGGTGATTGAAATAAGCAGTTGCCTGGTACTGAGAGCACTAAAAATAACCTTTAGGGAATTTGACTACTTTTAGAGTAATCCTCTTAGACCAGAGCCCTTGTTTATCACAGTTCTTATGTCCAACTAAGAACAAAAACCAAAAAACCCACTGCCATCAAGATGATTCCGACTGATAGCAACCCTGTAGAGTTTCCAAGGCTGTAAATCTTTAGGGAAGCAGACTGCCACATCTTTCTCCTGCAGAGCCGCTGGTGGTTTCAAACTACTGACCTTTTGGTTAGCAGTCGAGTGCTTTAACCACTGCACAACCAGGGCTCCTTAAATAGTCCTGGGTTATTTAGTATCTGGAAAATTCCAGAATTTATGAGCCTATTTGGTTCCTTGTGACTGACTCTGACTTTGAACATTCTACTTATCTATCTCCCTCCCCTTTCCCAAGGTCCCTTCCCTGACTGCTAGATTGTTTTCTTTCTCTAAAGGAATGTAGAATTTAGTCTGCACAATACCATTTAGTATTCAACTATATATTATCTTGTAGTATCTTTATATTATTTTATATATATCCTTATCTACAAGAGGAACTGCTAGATTTTTATTCTTTTTTAAAAAGGAACTTTGTGCTCATTCACAGATTTCTTGATCAGAGTTTCATGGCTACTTTCTGTTAAGTCTCAGCTACTGATACGTACAGTTTTCCACCCGTGATGCTGGGCTAGTAGATGCCATATGAATACTTCTGGATTCCAATTATTAAGAATTCTTTGATATTATTGTTATCATATTAAACTTGTCAGATTTTTGAGAGAACTAAGAAATAATGCTTGCTCTGGTGCATTGATTTATGACTGTTATGGTGAGGCTGTGACCTCTGTGAAATACTCCTTGGATTATATAATCTCTTAGAATTTTGAAGACCTACAGACCTAAGACAGTATCTTACCTATTTTAAAAGATGTTTGGGCATCAGGTTTCATAGATTATGAGCACAGATGCTTGGTCATTTCTTCTCTCATTACAGGGAATAAGCGATTATGATAATTTTTTTATGAAATGAAAAAGATAGTTTTAATTTTACCGCAATTCCAAATGATTTCCCTAGGCATTTGTAGGAATATAACAATGGCATTGATTTTGATTAACAAATAAATTTATTGCATTTGGTAAAACTTTTCTTGTTTTAATGTGATCTTTTTACCCCCCTGAGGAGTCTATAAAGTTCTTAAAAGAAATGTCATTATCTAACTATTAATCCAGAATAGTTTATAATCTAGTGCTAATTTTCAGATTAAAGCTGGTAGATCCTATAGGCATTGAGAAAGGGAGAAAATTAGTGTCACTGAAGAGAATTTAATGAAAAGGTGAGACCTAAACTGAATCCAGAAGAATGGCAAGATTAAATAGATGGGGTAAAGGGGTGAGAGAAGCAGAGCGTTTCCAGTGTGGTAGAGTTTGGCCAAAGGAATACAGGTAGAGATGAGCTTGTTGGAAGGAATGCTAGAAGGAAACCATAGATTTTGTATTGGGAAGAAGTATGAAATAAGGTTGGATGATGGGCAACACACTAGACTAAAGTATTTTAATTCGTTAGATAATTGTGCATCACTTTAGGTTTCTAAGCTGGTGTGAGTGTGTATGTGAGAGAGACACACAGACACAGACAGAGAGAGAGAGGGATAGAGACAGGATGTGTGTGTGTGTGGGGGGGAGAAAGATGAATGAAGGAATGGATAGATATAAATGCATTGTTTTAGGGAAAATTAAGGGATGATGAGCAGGAAAACTGGAGATTTATTAGATGATTTTTAGAGTAATCCAGGGGTTAGTGATGAGGACCTTGGACCCAGTTGATAGAGTATTGAGAATAGAATTGAGATGGATATGGAAATATTAAAATAGTCATCAAAGTTCGGCAGCTGATTGGATGTGGGCAACCACTGTAACAAAAATTAATTATGATTTTTTTTTTTGTAGTCCCTTTGGTTGTAAAAATATTTTAGGCAGCCTGTAATTAAGAATGGAAACTGTGCTAAGAGAATGGACCCATATATGCCAGTGACAGCAGTTGAGCTTTCAGAAAAGTAGGGTAAAGGGAGAATTTCAGAGCCTTAGGGACAGAGCCTTTGAGGACAACCACAGTTAGATATATGAAGAAAAGGAAGGGCAGGAGTGTTTTACAGTATTCTTTCAATTGGGTCATAGTCTCTTTTGGCTGGTAAGTTTCTGTGGGAGGACAAAAGATGGCTAACAGGCATAAAGACAGAGAGATGGGGAGGGCAAGCGATCACCATCTGCCGCTTAAAAAAGAGATATAAAACTTAAAGACTGTAACTTAAATAATAATTATTAATTATTGAAGAATGGTATCCAAGGTATAAAAATTAGGATAGTCCGTCCAAGAGAATCCTAGTTATTACCATTACTAATGATAATGTCTAATTATAGAAAATTAGATGAATTTTAAGATTCTGAGTTTTAATTTTATATAGTAAATTTTTTTGTTGGCTGTTTGATGAATCTAAAAATTCCATTAATTAGGAATTTTACTTACATTGCATAAACTTAATAGTGATCCTAAGTGATACTAAGATTTTATTTTCTTGAGGATTAAATATTTGGGACATTTTAATCTCTGTATGGTAGTTTTGTTAATCAGGATTTTTGATTAACCAAAACGTTCCATTTTCTAACCATACACTATACTACCTTGTTTAAATAGATTTATATTTGAATCTGTGCTGAAATAAACCCAGTGCTTTTTGTAAATTGTTTCTAGAAAATAATTGCTCCTTTAAGTTTGTATTTGTCTTCGTATTATTTAGTAAGTTAGTGAAGCATTTTCTAATATGTGTTTTTACAGATGAACAAGAAGATGAAGATGCCATAGTCAACAAGATCTCGTATGTATTTTAAAGTTCACTTATTCTGTTTCTAATTCTAAAGTCATAAATTCTCAAAATTTAATCTAGCTTTTGGGCAGAAATATGGAAAAACCTCGCCTAAGGTATTACAACACTTTTATCAATATTAATCCTATTCTTGGAAAGCATATATAAACAAATATGTATGAATAGTTGTGAATTGATTATTTCTTGTTAAAATTTGCTTACTTAAGGAGCTGACAGATTTTATCTTCAAAGTATTTAATGAGGAAATGGGCTTAAGTTTGGGAAACTCACTGGGCTGTAGAAAGACACTCTTGGCTATTTGGAAGGTCTACTGAGTAAGATTGTGGTGGTCTTAAAACAAGGAACAGACATCTGTTCTGGTTAACTGAGCATTTACCTACTGTGAACAGGGAGATGGACCCTAGTTGTCCTTTTAAGTTCCTTATAGCTCTTTCTGCTTATGTATACTTAGGATGTATGATGGAAACATCCTTTAATTTTTTTTTTTTTTTGAGGTATACTGGATGTAAGCAGTGAATTCCTTTTTTGTCAGATTTTGCTTGATTAAAATTTGAAATTATACAGATATACCTACATAGAAGAGTATCTGTATTCCTGGATTTTAAATTTTTTTAATTGATACTTAAAAAATTTTTGAAATAATGACAAAGTTATAGATATTTTGGAGTATAATACAAAGAACTTTTTTTCCTGAACCATTTGAGAACTTGAGAGGGGACAGGGAAGAGGAAGTAAGAAAAGGGGAGGAGGGAAAAGGAGAGAAAGAGATTATATACATACACTTACATACACATACACACACACATAAAAATTAATACTTTCACATCCACTACAATGCAATATTATTCAGCCATTAAAAAGAATGAAGTCCTGATACATGCTATAACATGGATGAACCTTGACAACATTATGCTAAATGAAATAAGCCAGATACAGAAATCTCCAAAACAAGTAAATCCATAGAGATAGAAAGCAGATTGGTGGTTACTAGGGACTCGGGGAGGAGGGAATGGGGAGTAACTGATTAATGGGTACAGCATTTTATTTTGGGGCGATGAAAATGTTTCAGAACTAGGTAGAGGTGGTGATTGCACAACACTTTGAATGTACTAAATGCCACTGAATTGTTTACTTTAAAATAGTTTGTTATGTGAATTTCACCTCAATTTAAAAAAAAAAAAAAACCTTTTAACTAGTAAATGACTCAGGCTTAATTTGATTCATAACTGAAAAATGAATATAAATGGACCCTTTTTTTTAGATTTTATAATTGATGTTACTTTAAATGCCCTAGGGAAGTTGGGTAAGAGACAATTGTAACTTCATACTGGAAACTCTTATTCTACGAGTTTAAAACTTAGGCTCAAAACTTGATGTTTCAATTTATAAGATTAGAGGTTTGGTTTTAATTCTAGCACCATGGTATTTGTGAAAATTCTTAAATTACTGCTCCTGTAAAAACAGAATAATTTACTTACCTCAAGAAGCTATGCTGAATCACAGAGTGAACTAAAGGGTAGATACTAATTTTCTCAAAGTGAAATTCTCTAGGTACGTAGTACATGTGAGTTGTGTGCCTATCTCCTCTCCACGTAGCTGGTGCACCACGTTTAGTGGTCAGTCTTCTTAAATGCCTTTGTAAGTTAATAATTTATAAGCAAAAGAACAAATCGTCTTGGCTTTTACACTAAAAATTCTATTTTATGAAAATATGGCCATGTACTGTTTCAGTGTGGTAATTGTTCGGGAGCAGGCTCCGCTTCCTTTACATGCTTTAGCAGAGCGCCTAGCACATCCTGTGGGAGGGGTTTGGATTTTCTAAGTAGGTGGTTCCCATATCATGGTGGTACATATGGAGATCCTCTTCCTGAAGGTAGATTGGTGTACAGTTGTAATAGAGTTAGAAAGGGGAAGTGAAGGGCTACCTAAGAGAAGGAACCTGGCCAATTCTGTCCCCTCCCATCTTCCACCCCTGAGACTATTTATTACTTTGTCTTTTACTTCTTTTTTTTTTTTTCTTTTCCTTTTGTGATGGAGTGAATGAGAGCTATATTAGGCAGATCTGGATTCAAACTCTGAACTCAGGATTTACTTGAATCAAGAAGAGATTGAGAAACAAAGATTCATTTTCTCCATATGTGAAACAGAGATACCACCTACTTTGTGGTACACAACAGTATTACAAAGTAGGTGGTGTCTCTGTATGTGGAGAAAATGAATCTCCCTTTCATATATATAAACTTTTATATATCTGTATCAATGTATTTGTGGTAGGGTGCATGGTGCATAATAGGTATTAAATAAATGTTACCTTTCTTATAACCCTCTTTCCTTGCCTTACCTCCTCCCAGTGGAGGGAGTTGCAGGGGTTGGGGGGCATGGAATAGGAAGAAACTAAACGAGAGACTATGCTTAACAAGGAGGAAAGATATTGAAGTCTCCAATCTTCTGAAGGAGCTGAGACATATTCTTAAGTTTAGGTAATCGCCAACACCATTCTGACCCCTTGAGAGAGGATGTTCACAACTAACTCATCTCAATACCTGAGTCCATTTGAGAAGTTTTTCCTTGGCCTTCCTTACCTACCTTTGCTTTCTCTTCTGCTCCTGAAGTGCGTCATGCTATCCTCTATTTGTAGCTATGCCCCTCCCCATTTCCAACCAGAAATCGTATTTTCTGAGAGCTACTCTCAGCTGGATATTTGACTTGATTTGGTTTAAAGTAATTGACATAAAAATCTAACACTTAATTGGTGAAACTACTTTTAGGGATAGGTTGCATTTTAGAAGAAAACCTTATTACTTAACTCACTGCTATAGACTAAGGAAATGTTTTGGTTTTGTTTTATTTGTATGTTCTTTTAAGCACACAACTTTAGAAAAACCTTTCCTTCTCTTAATTTTATCCCTACTTAACCCTCCTCCTCATATTACGCATGCATACACACACTTTGAAAAATGGCTCTAGAAATTGGACTTCAGTGTGCCAGCACAAAGAAATAAACCATATTTGATATACTTTGAATAAAAATACAATTTTCCCCTAAAAGGAACCAGGGCTCCTTTGAGAAATGGCTGATTCCAGGGCTGGGTTAGGGAAAGTTCCAGGCTCTTCTTGTACAACTTATTGTGCCAGAATGCAAGGAATTGTTAAGAGAATGATGGGGACATATCAAAAGGACACTGAAGCCAAATCAGGGACTATTTGAGCATCAAAATAATGATTGTAATGGATCCTAGCCAACTGAATAAAATAGAATGATCTTGAGCCTATACTGATATAAATTAGTAAGGGAATAAATTGAAAGTTGGACAAAGAACAAGATATTTTCCTATTTTCAAACTTAACCTTTGCACAAAATACTCATTAATTATAAAGAGAAAAGAGTTACTTTAGAGTGGAGAGCCCTGGCAGACATCACTTTACCAGCAATCAAAGGGATCATCATCAGTAATGGCACAGACAGAAACCATGAGCTACCTGATAGAATGCAAAGTATGAAGCAACGCTTCTGTGAGTTCCTACTTAGTACACGTCAGGCTCAGCATGTCTGAAATTGAATCCCTTACTTATCCCTCAAACATGTTCCAACTTCAGCCTTTTCCATTTTAGTTAATGTCTGCTCCACAATTTCCAGTTCTCAGGCCCAGAAGCCTCAGGGTTATCCCTGACTTCTCTCTGTCTTGAATCCCATATGTTATGAGTCAGAATTCGACTCAATGGCAGTAGGTTTGGTTTAGTTTTCTGTGTTCAGAGTCTAACCACTTATCTTATCATCTTCATTGCCACTACCCTGGTCTGAGCCATCATTCTGTTACTTCAGTGGCTTCAAACAAGCCTCCCTGCATCTGTCCTTGCCTACGGTCCATTTTCTGTGCAGCACTCAAGAGTGATCCTTTAAAATGTGAGTCAGCCTGTGTCACGCCTCTGCTCAGCCCTCAGCTGGAGCTGCTCATCTCACTCAGAGTAAAAGCCGGAGTCCTCACAGTGGCCTACAAGACTGAGATCTCCACCCCGCACCTGTTTGTCATCTCTCCTACTATTCCCCACTTTCTCATTTATTGAATAGCAGCCACAAAACAAACTGCATCTTGTTTTTTTCCTTGAAAGGTCAGCATGCTTCCACCTTAGCATCTTTGATCTGTTTTTTCTGCCTGGGATGCTTTTTGTCAGATATCCACTTGGTTATTCTCTCACCCCCTTCATCCCACCACCCCATCTCCCTTTTTTTTTTCCCAACAAGAAGCCATAACTTTATTAATGATAGAAACGGTACAAATTTCAAACCAAACTGCAGTTACTTTTTTGAAACACCAAAAAAAGTCCTTGTTTTCAGATGGTTACATTGTTAATTCCGTAATAGCATTAACAACATCATTACTGTTGTTCTTAGGGCTCAAACTGCCTTTGCTCTTGACACGTTTGCTTGTGACATGACCAATTCTGTGTCCTTAACTTCCATACCTGTTTCATCAACCTCTTCCTCGTCACTCTCCTCTTGTACACTTGGAGTTTGTGTGTTTTCTTGAATGTTCCAGACGGCTTCACCTTGAACTTTGAATTTCTCTGCAGCTGTTAGCTGTGCTTGCTCAGACAAATCTTCAATGTTGGCTTCCCCTAAAACTATGTAGGTATCTGAAGCTGGGCTCTTGTAGACATCTGGCTTTGTGATTACAAAATAGATATTCTTAGATTTACAGGTAGTGACTCTAGTAACCCCTGTGACTTGTTGAAGACACAGTTTGGACATAGCCTTCCGTGCCTTCTTTTCACTCTGACTCTGTTGGCTTTACTGACTGATTCTTCATCTATTTCAGCTGCTGCTGCCAGCTGGGCTTGCTGTGTGGTTGCCTGTGTATAATCCTGTTCCTCGAGCTCTGGTACTGATTCTTCACTGTCAGATTCTGTTCCAGACCCTGTCTCAGCCTGGGGCTGTGGCAACTCCTGCTCTGTAGCAGAGATGGTTTCTGTGGCTTCACCGGGCATTTTGTGCGGGCAACGCAGAACCAAGATGGCGCCAGAAACAGCGAGTGAGAGCGTGCTCCACGCCAGTTACAGAAGTCCCCATCTCAATTTTTCTGTGAGGCCTACCCTGACTACCATACTTTCTATTTTTATTGCTTACTGCCTGTCTCTCCCTACTCCATTGTAAGCTCTGCAAGGGCAAGAATGGTTGTTTTAAAGTGCCTAGAACAGTCCTGGCACATAGTAAGCCCTCTATACATATTTACGTAATGAATGAGCCCCACTGAAAAGATTCACTGAGTCGAAGTCTATGATATCTGCTCTAACAAAAGCTCCATAGGTGATTCTGATTGTATCGATAGCTAAGAACCGCTGACTTAGAGTGAGGAATTTGGAGTGGAATTTGCATGCCTGCTGATTCATCCAGCAAACATTTATTTATTAGCTGAGATGAGATTTAGGATGGTGTTATGGATTGAATTGTGTCCCCCAAAAATATGTATTGGAATCCTAACCCCTATACCTGTGGATGTAATCTCATTTGGGAATAGGATTTTATCTGTTATGTTAATGAGACCATATCATTGTAAAGTATATCTTAAACCTACTCGCTTTTGAGATATAAAAAGAGCCGATTAGGCAGAGGTACAAGCACCAGTTAGGAAATGACAGATGCCACATGGAAATTTCCAAGGAACACAGCAAGAATGCTCGAGAAGCCGAGATAAGGATTTTCCCCTAGAGTGGGCAGAGAGAGCCATCCCCTAGAGCCAGTGCTGTGAATATGGACTTCTAGCCCTCTAAACTGTGAGAAAATAAATTTCTGTTCATTAAAGCCATCCACTTAAGGTGTTTCTGTTACAGCAGCACTAAGAAACTAAGACAGATGGAGTGCTGGGGACACCACCATTTTATACAGGAATGGAGGCTGAGAATGAAAAATCAGGAAGAAGAGAATGTTGCTGAAGTTGGGAAAAATTTCAAGAAGGTAGTAGTGGTTATCAATCTGAAATGTCATAGAAAGTCGAGTTCAGATTGTGACTAAAAAGTGCAGTACAAATTTGACCTTAATGAGAATCTTCATTATTATGGTGAGGAACAGAAATCCTATTGTATGGGTTAAGAAAGAAATTGAAGATGTAGAAGTGAAGATATCATACATAAGTTATATTTTGAGTATTAGAAGCTGGAAAAGAAGGTTTAAAGAGAGCAGGGTTAATTGATGGAGCTAGTACCTTGGAGGCAGTAGTGGTAGAGATCAAGGGTAGTGGAAGAAGCCTTCCTTCTCTTTGAAGGCAGGAAGAATAAACATCTATTTTGATGGCTTTCTTAGGTGGTAGGTAGAGAGGGAGTTTGCCTGCCTTTTGTACTATGAAATGGGTGACTCCGTCATTGGCTGAGAATGAGGGCAGCGGGGGCATGACAGAAAGTTTGAGACAAGCCTGATGATGGTGGTTAAGAATAGGGGATTAGAGGCTTACGACTCAAGTGTCCTGGCTCTTGTTTGTTCTGATTCTTTTTCTTTTTTAATTTAAATTATGCTTTAAGTGAAAGTTTACAGCTCAAGTTAGTTTCTCATACAAAAATTTATGCACACATTGTTATGTGACCCTAGTTGCTCTCTCTGTAACATGACAGCACATTCCTTCTTTCCACCCCAGATTTCCTGTGTCCATTCAACCAGCTCCTGTTCCTTTCTGCCTTCTCATCTTGCCTCCAGACAGGAGCCACCCGTTTGGACTCCTATATCTACTTGAACTAAGAAGCATTCTCTTCACAAATATCATTTTATGTCCCATAGTCCAGTCTAATATTTGTCTCAAGAGTTGGCCTCGGGAATGGTTTTAGTTCTGGGTTAACAGAGAGTCTGGGGGCCATGTCTTCCGGGATTCCTCCAGTCTCAGTCAAACCATTAAGTCTGGTCTTTTCACTAGAATTTGAGTTCTGCAACCCACTTTTCTCCTGCTCCTTAAGGGACTCTCTGTTGTGTTCCCTGGCAGGGTGCTGGCTCTTGTTTGTTGAGTGAAAGTACGTGAACTCTCTGTAGACTGTTAAAGCAATGTAAGGTAGCCTTATTCTTTTAATTCATCATCACCTTGCAAAGCCATTTTATAGTATGATTTATTAGATTATGGCTTTATTTACATTATTTATATTTAACTTCTAAGTATATTCCTGATTACTTTATTAAGACTAATAGACTCTGCCTTCTTTGTTGGGTTAGGGAAATAGCCAGTTATATAAATATCAGATATTTGTAAAACACTTTTGTCTTATTAGTACTGCAATTATAAAAGATACCTTACTCTTAAGATGTAATTTTAAAAATACTGCTTATGTGCTCCATTTCAGAAGGTGACGTTTTTTAAACTGTCCTTAAATTCTGAACAGGCACTGTTCTGTGGTTACATAAGCAGTGGCTACTGCTACACTGATCCACTCAGGGCCATGCTGTAAGGATCCCCTGCCAGCATGCAGCTCTATTACACCAGTCTTTTATGAATACTTTCCTCAGAGCTACTCACGGGCAGTCAGGGATGATGATATCTTTTTTTGTATCTCTAGGGCCAATCACAATACCTAAAGTATAATAGTTCTAATAGTTTTTTTTTTTTTTTTTATTGTTGAAAGAGCAAGCATTATGGTTATGGTGGCCATATATCCAAGATTTTCTGGGTCACTTGTAATTTCAAATACTTCATTTGCTCCCATAAGCATACTCCTTTTTGTCAGATCATGGACCCCAGTTTTTGATTTGGAAATGATAGTTGATCTTCTGAGCTGGGCATGTGGTCAAAGTATTATGGGAGCCAAGAGGTGAAAGGACATAATTTTACTGAGAGGAGAAAGCAGGGAGGAGTTGAAGACGCTTCACAGGACAAATGCCATTTGAGCTCTGTCTTAAAACTCATGTCTGAGTTTGCCGTGCAGAGCACAGAAAGGAGTGTACTAGCAAGATAGCACACTATGCATGAGGGCATGGGCCATAAAAATTCATTTCATGTTTGGAGAATGAGTTTAGATAAGTCAAAATGTATTTTTGGAATGTATAGTAGCTAGAGAGGAGCCTGGAAAAATTAGAATATTAGAATAGCTTGTGCAGGACCTTGAATGGTAAGATTTTGGATTTAATCTTAATTTCAGCATTGGAAGGAATGATAGTGATTTGGATAACTTCTTTGTTTGACATGTGAGGAAAAATTGAAGAAGCTTGTAGGAGAACACCCGTTTGGTTACTGCCAGAGTTGGCAGTGGACCCTGGGACTTGAACTTGTTTTAGTGCTTCGCCCAGTAAACCAATTTATAAAACTTCTCCTCTGTCTGATTTGAATTGTGTTTTTGGTATGTATCACATAATCTGAGGAGCCCTGGTTGCACAGTGGTTAAAGCGCTCGGCTGCTAACCAAAAAGTTGGCAGTTTGAACCCAGCAGCTACTCTGCAGGAGAAAGATGTGGCATTCTACTTCCGTAAATATTACAGCCTTGGAAACCCTATGGGGCAGTTCTTCTCTGTCCTGTAGGGTCACTATGAGTCAAAATTGACTCGAGGGCAGTGAGTATCACATAATCTACATGAAAAGATTTATCATTGGTTTATCATGGTTATTTTTGGCTTTTAATAGGAATACACTTCTGTTGGTTGCCACAAGGTGGCATTGGCCTCAAAGTTACTCTATTAGATGTGTATCTTGGGCGTTTAGTATGATTTTCTCCCTGCTTTTTATCTTCTTAAGTTTATTTTTACATTCCTCTTATATGAACTTTAATGGAATGGATATTATTAAATTAAGGTTCCATCACTAATGCTAGTGAAGTTTTCTTTTCCTTTGCCATTTTATTCTGTAAGATTTTAAAAAATTAGGTGTAAAAATTTCAGCCATTACAGAAATGTATAACTGGGAAAGTGAAAACCCTTTGTTATTCTACTTCATCTTTCCATATTAGTACATATTAGAGCTATATTATTTGTAAAAAATGACAAATGGTGTTTTAAATATTATTTAATACTACCATATTAAGAGTTTCCTATTGTTTAATAGTATAGTTTATTTAAACTTTGCCCATATTAAAAGGTATTAGGCCAATAGTTTTGTGAGTTTTTCTGTCCTGAAGTAATCATTTTAAATTTTGTTTTAAATACCACTTTCACCAGTATTTTTTCACCTGAAACAGTTACTGTATTCCTGTTAGCATATATTGCCGAAGTTGTTAATGAAATGAAATTGTGAAATAAATACTTGTGTTTAAAACAGGAATGCAACTACAATTTATTCTTTGTAAAATGTGTGAATTACTATGTCTTCAGTACAAGTAGTCCCCGACATACATTCCAACGACCCTGTCGTAAGTCTTCTTATGTAAGTCAAATACCTCCTTTTTTTAGCTCTCACTATTATTGTTTTTTATTATCAGTGTCTTTATAAATTCAATCTTTATTTGTCTTTGAGCATTGGATACATTACGTAAAAACTTAAAGATATATTTTCATACATACATAAAAAAATACACAAATCATGAAAATTTACTCTGACGATGAAGAAGAGCTGGATAACGTTGGCAGTTTGTCTGTTGAAGACCAGGCCATAGTCTGCTATAAGGCAGTGTTTTGAAGGTAGATCATAACATTGAAATCTGTGAGTGAACATCTGAGAATGATAACATCAGCAAATTTCGTGCTGCAACATTGTATGTAGTACATCTTACTAACGGTAAAGATGTGTGAAGTGTGGATCGTCATAACTTGAATACATCATAAGTTGGGGACTACCTGTATGTATGTCTTTTAGGTCTTTCTGGTTAATCTTAATCTTTTCATAGAGTAAGGAGTTTTAGAGTTCATCTAGTTTAACTCCTAGGATATTTCTGTCATTTGTCTCCCAAATACATATATTTAATGAAATTCTTATATAATACTTTTTATAAAAAAATTTTAACAGTATTCTTTTTGAGTTACTTCCATATTAATTGCTTTTTCAAATCATGTGTGACGAGAACTCTTTTTTCTTTCAGGTTGTTTTTGAGCACATTCACTCTAGCAGTTTCAGCTGGCGCTGTTTTGCTTTTACCCTTCTCAATAATCAGCAATGAAATCCTGCTTTCTTTTCCTCAAAACTACTATATTCAATGGCTGAATGGCTCCCTGATTCATGGTTAGTATATATTGCTTGATCACAGTTAATATTTTACTCTTTGATTGCACTGTATTTTAAAATATTTCTTTTCTTAGTTTTTATCATAATTTGTAACTTCTTGTAGTAAGCCATTTGAGTCCTTAATGAAATCAGAAAATCAGAATGTTTACTTAACATTCCTATTCTTTGTTAGTTGTGAAAGACTTTTCCGTTTTACTCAATCAAGAAGGAGTTTTATACTTACCATGATTTTGATAAATTTTTACTTAAATATTTAGCAATAGAAATTTGGTTTATCTGGATATGTCAGTAGAACTCAAGTTCCATTTATTTAAGACCTAAAACACTATAACCATAGTTTCTATTTAATTTATTTGCTATTAGCTTTTTAGTCATTTTAGAATATATGATGGAAGGAAATAAATCTTTTCTGTCAACTACAAACTTTAACAATAATGTGGTTTTAAAAAATAATGATTTATTATAGGCAATATGGTATATTGCTTTGGAGCTAAACAGACCTGCATTCATATCTTGGCTCTGCCATTTTCCAGCTGACTTTGGGCAAGTCACTGTTTTTCTTTGATCTCTGTTTCCTGTTCTCTTGAAGTGCTATTGTAAAACCTACCTTGCAGGCTTGATTTTAGGAAGAGGAGTAATGTCTGTAAACTAACTGCCTCTTTATAGGTGGTAGCTATTATTATGATGGTTATTTAGACTGTGAGGTATTTTTCTTTACTCTTTCTGAAGAGTCTTACTTTTTTTTTACATATTAATTTAGTGTGTGTACACTTAATTTTTTCTCTCATAGAACATGTTGGCACAATTATTTTTTGCGGAGGGCATAACATTTTATAATTATCTGTTAGAGTTGAATTACAGTTTCTAGAGATTTTGTTATCTTTCAACCCCATTTTATTTGTGTTATTAGTTGTTATAAGTGTTATTCGTTATTATTTTTTAGTGTCTGGTGTTATTAGTATTAATAGTTATTTTGTTATACACGCGCACACACACACATATATTTAGCAGTGGTCATGAGGATGGCACAGGACCGGACAGTGTTTCGTTCTGTTGTACATAGGGTCACTGTGAGTCAGAACTGACTCAACAGTACCTAACAGTAACAACATATACATACATACATATATGTATATATGTATGCACACATATATGTTTATATGTACATACATAAATATATATATATGATACAGACATACATGCATGCATACATACATATATATGTATATATGTGTGTGTATATGGATAGTCCCTGGGTGATGCAAACAGTTAACATGCTTGGATGCTAAAGGTTGGAGGGTCAGATACACCTAGAGGCACCTTGGAAGAAAGGCCTGGTGATCTACTTCTGAAAAATCAGCCATTGAAAACTCTTATGGAGCACAGTTCTACTCTGACACACATGGCATTGTCATGAGTCAGAATCAACTTGATGGCAACTGGAGAATATATATATATATTCTCTGCTCCTTGGAAACCCTACAGGGCAGTTCTACTCTGTCCTATAGGGTCACTGTGAGTCGGAATTGACTCAGTGGCAACAGGTTTACAGCTTTTTTTATATATATATATTTTAGGATATACCGTGTTTTTACGCAAATAACACACACCTTCTATGTTTGTTTGCCAACTGCTCCCTCCCCATGTGAGGTATTTTCGTAAGCATTGCTATGCTAATTTTTTTTTACATGTTGCTGTAAAAAATTAACATAGCACACTTATGAAAATACCTTGCAGGGAAGGTAGTGGTTGGTAAACATAGAAGGCATGCATTATTTGCATAAAAATATGGTATATGTGTGTGTGTATAGATATACACTTGCATACATACATATTGAATGATACAGGAACGTCAAAGGAAGATGGAAGGAATACACAGTGTCACTGCACCAAAAAGAATTGATACACATTCAACAATTTCAAGTGGTAGCATATGATCAAGAAACTACGGTACTAAGGGAAGGACTCTAAGCTGCACTGAAGGCAAGAGAAAAACAAAGCTCCAGGAATTAACGGAATACCAATTGAGATGTTTCAGCAAACAGATGCAGTGCTGGAAGCATTCAGTCATCTGTGCCAAGAAATTTGGAAGATAGTTACCTGGCCACCTGAGTACAAGAGACCCATTTATGTGCCCATTCCAAAGAAAGGTCCAACAGAATGCAGAAGTTATTATTATTTTTTTTATTGTACTTTAGATGAAGGTTTACAGAACAAATAGTTTCGCATTAAACAGTTAGTACACGTATTGTTTTATGACATTGGTTACCAACCCCACAAGATGTCAACACTCTCCTTTCTCTACCTTGGGTTCCCTATTACCAGCTTTCCTGTCCCCTCCTGCCTTCTGGTCTTTGTCCCTGGGCTGTTGTGCCCTATTAGTCTTGTTTTGTTTTATGGGGCTGTCTAATCTTTGGCTAAAGGGTAAACCTCAGGAGTGACTTCATTACTGAGCTCAAAGGGTGTCTGGGGGCCATACTTTTGGGGTTTCTCCAGTCTCTGTCAGGCCAGTAAGTCTGGTCTTTTTTCTGTGAGTTAGAATTCTGTTCTACATTTTTCTCCAGTTCTGTCCAGCTCCTCTGTTTTGATCCCTGTCAGAGCAGTCAGTGATGGTAGCTGGGCACCATCTAATTGTACTGGACTCAATCTGGTGGAGGCCATGGTAGTTGTGGTCCATTAGTCGTTTGGACTAATCTTTCCCTTGTATCTTGTTCATTCTCCCTTGCTCCTAAAGGGGTGAGGCCAGTGGAGTATCTTAGATGGCTGCTCAGAGGCTTTTAAGACCCCAGATGCTACTCACCAAGGTAGAATGTAGAACATTTCCTTTATAAATTATATTATGCTGATTGAGTTAGATGTTCCCCGAGACCATGGTCCCCACAGCACTCAGCCCAGCAATTTGGTCCCTAAGGTATTTAGATGTGTCTATGGAACTTCCATGATCTTGCCTTGTACAAGTTGTGCTGGCTTCCCCAGTATTGTATACTGTCTTACCCTTCATCAAAGTTATCACTTACTTTTTGTCTTTTTAGTGGTCCCCCCACTCCCCTCCCTGGTAACCATCAAAGATTGTTTCTTTTTGTGTGTAAACCTTTTCATGAGTCTTTACAATAGAGGTCTCATACACTGTTTGTCCTTTGTGATTGACTCATTTCTTTCAGCATAATGCCCTCCAGATTCATCCATGTTATGAGATGCTTTACAGATGCATCATTGTTCTTTATCGTTGCATAATATTCCATTGTGTATGTACGACAGTTTGTTTATCCATTCTTGTTTTGATGGGCATCTAGGTTGTCTCCATCTTTTTGCTGTTGTGAACAATGCTGCAGTGAACATGGGTGTGCATATGTCTATTCGTGTGATGGCTCTTATTTCTCTAGGATATATTCCTAGGAGTGGGGATTGCTGGATCATATGATATTTTTATTTCTAGCTTTCTAAGGAAGCACCATATCATTTTCCAAAAGGGTTGTATCATTTTGCAGAATGCAGAAATTATTGAACAATATCATTAATATTACACTTAAGTAAAATTTTGCTGAAGGTAATTTGGAAATGGTTGCAGCAGTACATTGACAGGGAACTGCCAGAAATTCAAGCTGTGTTCAGAAGAGGTTGTGGAACGAGTACTAGCATTGCTGATGTCAGATGGATCTTGGCTGAAAGCTGAGAATACCAGAAAGATGTTTCCCTGCGTTTTATTGACTATGCAAAGGCATTCAACTATGTGGATCATAACAAATTATGGATAACATTGTGAAGAATGGGAATTGCAGAACACTTAATTGTGCCACGAGGAACCTATATATAGGCCAAGAGGCAGTTGTTCGAACAGAATATGGGGATTCTGGGTGTTTTAAAGTCAAGAAACGTGTGCAACAGGGTCGTATCCTTTCACCATACTTACTCAATCCGTATGCTGAGCAAATAATCCAAGAAGCTGGACTCTGTGGAGAAGAATGCAGCATCAGGATTAGAGGAAGATTCATTAACAATGTGGGATGTGCAGATGACACAACCTTGCCTGCTGTAAGTGAAGAGGACTTGAAGCACTTACTGTTGAAGAACAAAGACCACAGCCTTCAGTGTGGGTTACACCTCAACATAAGGAAAACAAAAAGCTTTCCAACTGGACCAATAAGCAACATCATGATAAATAGCAAAAATACTGAAGTTGTCACGGATTTCATTTTACTTGGATCCACTGTCAGTTCTCATGGAAGCAGTAGTGAAGAAATGAAACGAAACATTGCATTGGGCAAATCTGCTGCAAAGGATCTCTTAAAGTGTTAAAAAGCAAAGCTGTCACTTTAAGGACTAAGGTGCACCTGACCCAAGACAGGATATTTTCAGTCGCCTCATATGCAGCTGAAAGCTGGACAATGAATAAGGAAGACCGAAGAAGAGTTGATGCCTTTCAATTATGGTGTTGCCAAAGAATATTGAATATACCGTTGACTGCCAGAAGAACAAACAAATCTGTCTTGGAAGAAGTACAGCCAGCATACTCCGTAGAAGCGAGGATGGCTAGACTTTTCTCACTTAACTTCGGACATGTTATCAGGAGGGACCAGTCCCTGGAGAAGGACATCATACTTGGTAAAGTAGAGGGTCAGCAAAAAAGAGGAAAACCCTTGGCAAGGTGGATTGATATGGTGGCTGCAACATTGGACTCAAACGTAATGGTTGTGAGTATGGTTTTGTTGTACATATGGTTGCTATGAGTCAGAACTGACTCAACAGCACCTAACAACAGCTGTATAAAAAAATACCAAACCAGTCCCATTGCCGTCAAGTCAATTCACATTCACAGTGACCCTATAGGACAGAGTAGAACTGCCCCATAGGGTTTCCAAGGAGTGGCTGGTAGATTCAAGCTGTCGACCTTGTGGTTAGCAGCTGAGCTCTTAACCACTGCACCACCAGGGTTCCAGCAACAACCGTGTGTGTGTGTGTGTGTGTGCATATGTGTGTATATATACGACATTTAGATA